GAATCACAGAATGGTCAGGGTTGGAAGGGACCTCTGGAGATCATCTAGTCCAAGCCCCCTGCCAGAGCAGGGTCACCTACAGCAGGTTGCACAGGATGGCGTCCAGGTGGGTTTTGAATGTCTCCAGAGTGGGAGACTCCACAACCTCTCTGGGCAGCCTGTGCCAGTGCTCTGCCACCCCCAAAGTAAAGAAGTTCACCTTCATGTTTATTCCACTATACACGAAATACTCTCCTACTTCTGTACATTCAAGTGGGCCCTTTAAAATTAAAAGATCCACTCAAAAGAACTTGCAAGCTTCCAGACTTTGTGGTCACTTTGGCTATCTCTTGTCCAGGCATTGGGATGAAAACTCAGTGCAAACAATCCTACTATGTGTGTTTGTTACCATAGGAATGACGTGTGACCTCTCCAACTAAATCCCCAAGTTAGGACAAATGTGGGAGTAGAATTGCGGGACGTTATGTGGCACAATTATCTGTATATGGTGTCTGCTCCTTTAAGGGTATCTGGTCAAGGACCTTTTCCAATGCAACAGGGACAATAAGAAAAGGAGGAAGCTATGAACAAAAACATACGGAGACACAAACCTGACTGACATGCTAAGGGAGGCAGTGATGAGAACCAAACCTGGTCAGTCACGTCAATTGATAAGGGCATGTTAGAGTGTGAGAAAGTTTATTCCAGTGAGGTTATCTGACTGGGGACCTGTCAGGTAAGGGAAAAGGGGGAAAACAGAAACAAAATACACAGAGACACAGACCTGATGAAACAAACATGGAGACAATGGCAAGAAACAAACGTCACCCCTCACACTAACTGATGGGATATCAAGAAACCACAGGTGCCACTTCCAGGAAGATCAGCCTGGACTTCGTGACTGATGATATTGCATACCAGGGGCAACACCTGATATGGGGACGGAGTGTATGTGCAGGGGAAGGGGGAGCAGGGGACAACAAAGGGGTGTAGGCAGAAGGGGGTGTAAGAGGAATCAGTCGGCTGTAAAATGGGACTGGTCAGTACGCTTGTCTGGCTGAGCCCCATCCCTGATCACTGCAGCCTGGCCTAGCTTGTTGTGTCTTCTTATTAAATCTTTTCTTAAGCATCCCTCTGCATATGCTCGCTCTCTGTCCCATGTGGACTCAGTGCCAGCTATTGGTGAGACCTGTGTGTGCGTGAGGGGAATTTGGTGCCCACTCCTGGGGTCAGACCAGGGGTGGGCACCCATGGC